AGCTCTCTCCAGTTTGTCCATATCTTTCCCGAAATGTGCTACCCAGAACTGGACACAATACTCCAGTTGAGGCCTAATCAGCGCAGGAACCTAAGCGTTAGAAACTTCATACCAAAAAAAAAGGAAAGAAAAGTAAAGTTTAGGTTCTGCAGAACTCAGTGGCATTTACCCAAGAAAGCTTCCAAGCAAGTTTATTTTTCAAGCTTTGGCCATAGAGACACAATATGTAAAGGGTTTCAGATGCAGTCTTGCTCTAGCCCCTTGCTCTCGACAGGACATTAAGTGGCTTTACAATACTAAGAATTTTCTTGCTTTTTGTGGGGCCAACAGTATTGCTTGAGTTTGAACTTTTCTTATGGAAGCAAAATCTAGTACTTCAATGTTACATTAGGCATCTGGTTTGTAAATAGATCCATCTTCCACTGCAGCAGAATAAGTGCAGATTCTTCACTGGCATGTTCTAGCTCTACTTTCAGTAGCCAAATCAACAGATAAGCAAGATTAGTGTCCATTATTTTGTGCTATTGAAAGCTACCACGGGAATCTTGACCTTAAAGTTTTTGGGCAACTAGTGATTTTGGGTGCCTAAACTGAGACACTGTAAAGCAGCCTGATTTTCAGAAGTTACCGAGTGCCCAGCCTCTTTAAGCTGTCTAAACTGGCACTCAAATGAGATCCCACAAGTCACCCTTGAAAATCTTGGCCAAAGTTTTCACGGCAGTAGGGCCCCAATCCTCCAGTCTGATCCACACAAGAGAACCCTTACATCCATGGGGAGGCCCAATGAAGTAATTGGGGCTCCACAAGGAGCCAGGAGTCTACCTGTATAGATTATTGCAAGGTCAGCACCTAAATAAGGGTATGAGATGGTTACTGGACACCTACTAACAAGAGAACTAGCCCCATTGGTACCTAGATACTCCAGTATATGGCACAATATTCATTCGCCTATAGCTAGGTAGACTGACTGAAATATTAAGCAGGGGCCTGCAAGAAGGGAGACTCACCAACCAACAAGATCCATGATCCAAACCCTGTTGAAAAGGTCTAACTGCCATGTACTGTAGCCAAGTACTGTACATGGCTCAGGGATTCCCTGTTCCATATCAGCCTCCGGCTAGAGGGATTAAAAGTTTCTCATCCCTACTAGATGCTGGAAGGGGAAAAAAAAAAAAAAAAAAAGCTATCTTCCAGCCCCTAACACAACCTCACTTAAAGGAAAGGGTTAGGCTCCCAATTGTTTTACTGAATCTCCTTGCAAGATGGCTGAAGCATAGCCAATATTATTGAATCAATGGAACATCACAAGGGTCATCTCAAAGATCTTCAGCAGTATTTCTGTTTTTAAAGAGACTAAAGATGGACATCAGAAGTACCTCTGTTTAGCTTTGTGATAGCAGGTAAACACCAAGATGGGATCAATGATCACAAAGAAATAGAAAGAGTTCTACAAGAAATGCTTTTTTTGGGGTCCACGTTACCCTATTTCTAATTAACATTGGTTACACATAATCAGGAAAGAGAACCCAATTTTTTTGCCTTAAATCCATTTTGGATTCCTTACCCCTCTCCCTATCAGAAAGAGACTTTATATAATCACATAGCAAAAATGGATGTATTAGTTAAATATCATCAGGATGTGGGTATCTGATTTGTCAGATAATTGGAGGGTTTTTACCCTCTTTAAGAGAGGACTCCACAAGTTCAGATTATTTTTAAGGTAACTGATTCTGCCAGGAACTTGTGGACTGGTGATAGTGTGAACATACATTAACATTCCTTAGAAATGGCAGAGGGGAATTCTGAAAGTATCCTAAGGGCTCATCTACATTACACAGCCTTTGCTGATACAGCTATACTGGCATAGCCCCAGTGTACGCACAGCATGCGCCATAGAATGGTTTTTCTGCAGGCATAGTAAAAACACCTCCCCGAATGACATTAACTACACCAACAGAAGCATTTACGCTGGGGGGTTTACAATCACAACTATGTTGGTTAGGGGGTGGGGGTTTTTTCCCCCCACATCCCTGACAGACATAGCTATGCCAACAAAATTTTGTAGCATACACCTAGCTTAAGTGCCTTAAAAGAGGCATATTAGAAATGGAGGAGTAGCTTATTGTTCCCACTGAAGAGGAAAATCATCACAAAAGGTTAAAGGGGAAAAAAAGAGGGCTAGGCACCACAAGTAAAATTTTGAAGAGTGCCAAGGCAACTTAGAAGCATAAGTCCCATTTTCAAAAGTGATTTAGGACCCTGAGGGTCATATTTTTAAAGACATTTAAGTGCCCAAAAATGCAAATAGGTTTCTAGTGGGATTTTCAAAAGTGTTTTAAATGGGTTAGGTGCATAGCAGTCATTAAAACAATAGGAGTTAGACACCTAATCCATTTTAGAATTTAAAAATTCCTACCTGCATGTCAAGGCACCAAAATACATTTGCAAATCTGGCCCCAAAAATTATGGAAAATCTGAAGTGGTCTGGGGAAGTGATAACTATTCAGCATTTTGTAAAAATGAGAATAAAAAGTCTCATTTCACATGTCCCTTGTCCAGGGAGTGACTGGCAAATTTTGCCAGAGTGAAAATGACTACCCAATAAATGTATAATCAACAGTCTGCCCTAGCTCAGAATGTAAATACAAATGAACAAATAGAAATGAAATGAAATCCTGCCCATCTTTTTTTAAGTTTTCAAGTTAATAGTACAACAAGCATTACTGTCTGGAAGGATATTTTATTATTAATTGTCTTACAATTCTTTAAGTTCATTGTAATGAAATAAAGCATCCTGTGTGTGAACATCACCCCTACTCTCAATAAAATTAGCATACGAGTTTCAGGGGCAACTATCATCAATGTCAGGAGAGGTCTTGACCACTTCAAGGTGGGTACAATATATTCATGATGGCACTGTGGCAGAAGACGTGGCCATGGTACCCTGCTGCTGCAGTAGAATCCACAACCAAAATTAAATAAGAAGAGAAGAACATCAGAAGGCCATCCAATAAATAAATAAATAAAACAAACAAACACCAAAGAAACAAACCCCAAAAACACCACCCTGAGGATTTAAGATGAGCAACAAAAACTGAAAAGCATTGGCATTTTAATAGGGCAAGCCTCTGAGGGAAGGCAGAAGAATGGTAACAAGATCACTGTAGCAATTCCAGAATGGAAAGCTTCAAATGTTGGAATTGAACCTACATTATTGGCTTCAGAGTCTTCAATGACAGAGAGAAATCAATAAAGCTGCAGTCTTTCTCCAATGGCTGACTACATAATGCGAGGATTTCTAGGGAGCTTTGATATTAGTAATGCTAGCAGGCTACTTGGACAATGAGAAGGAAAACACGTGAACACCCATTTAGCTGCATCTTAGTTTAAAATGTTTGAGTTGAGCGCTTTCACATACTGTAGACAATGAGGTAGATGGATAAAATTAACATGAAGCCATATGTTAACTCACATGACTTTAGTATTACTGTTTTCTGGCACCTGTAATTAAGAGATAATACCGGTAGGATAATTGTCAAAGGATAATGGTTTTGCACTGCTGGGTGGGGGTGGGGAGGGGGAAAGCCTGTAGCAAAGTCTAGGAATGTATTAAGGAAAAAATTGAGGCCTTCAAAAAGCAGGACACATTTATAGTGCCCACTCGGAAAATAAAACACTAAAGGAAAGCCAAGACATATGTTTGATTAATGCCTCCACTTTCTCTTCTCATGCCACTCATCTAGTAGAAGGATCCCATTATCTTGCAGTGATGTATTCCAGGGACTTTACACCAGAGGATGAAATAAAGGCATAATATAGATAATTGGCTAAAACATAGCATATATGCCATATATGAAACTTTAAAAATAACAAACCTTTATATTTGTGTGTGATTAAATTGATTTCTAACTAGGTTAAAAACCCCTCCACTAACAATAAATAAGAATCAGCTAACCAGCAATCTAAATGGCTATTACACATTTCATTATGTCTAACAGATCATTTGTTACAGTTTTGCGATTACATGGCAAATGCTGAGCACATGTTAACTTGATGCACATAAAAAGTATTCCACCATTGTATGCTTATATACTAATCAAAGACTTGCTACCACACTAATAATTTTTAGTGAGCGTATTAGCTCCAAATACATGGCAAATAAAGTGTTTTACTTAACTGATCCTTTTTGTATAGTGTTCTAGAAAACCCATGACTAATATGCCCATACCCTTTTTATTTTTGCATTATTAAAAGTAACTGGTCAGTTTCCTCAGAAGATAAAGCTGTTGAAGCATATGGTATTCCTGAACAAAGAAAGAAAGTCTATAATTATGGCAGTCTCTGACATCATAAGCGTATCATACCACTACCCAGCACACCCAGACTTACTGCACAGTCGTAACATCATTAAGAACTTTGTCAAGTTCTAATAATTTTATTCAACCAAACCTTTTTCTTGACAAATGTGCAGTTTCTGCTCCAAAACAAAACGTTAACTCTAGCAGCCTCTGCGGCAGTGATAGCACTTAAACAGATGTAGTCAATTCCCCTGCTTGATGGGGGCCACACTTTTTCTAATAACCTATGCCCATAAAAAGAGTTACTTTAAAATACTTTCACAGTGGGTTTTTCTTCTTTTCAAAGCCTCTAAAATGGTCACTGAGAAGTATTTTCAGATTTATTTTGCAGTGTAACTGGATAACAACCCTCTGAAAGTCTCCTTCCAAACTGGATTTTTGAAAAGAAAATGAAACCAAATCCAGAGCTTGCTTTTTTAGAAGAACGCCCCCCCCTTTTTTCCCCTTTCCTCCCCTCCCCCACCTGCAATGTGCAATGCAACCTTAACTCTTTAATCTGATTATGGCCTAATCCCTCCTCCTCCCCAGCTGCTCTGATCTCTCTGTGCAACAGCAGGCCATACTCTAGAGAAAAACTTCACAGTTGCAATTATCACCCTTGGAAATATTTTGGGTAACAATCAAAGCATCGAGGGCTCCTACTTTTTAGTGCAGTCTAGGAGGATTCCAGTGAAGCGCCTCTCCCCGCAGCTCAAGGTGACCACCAACGTGTCGTTCACCATCTGCTCCACCAGCACGGGTAGCCAGGAGCCGACCTGCAGCTCCTTCGCCTCAGCCTCCTCCATGCTTGCAGGAGCTCGGCGTCCGCCTCACTACAGCTGGAGCGCGGCGGCAGGCTCCCAGTCGGCCTCGCTTGGGCCCGCTGCCCGTTCTGCTCCGCTCTCTGCTCTCCCCTCCCCCGCCGCTGCCGCCGCCCGGATGGCTACACTGGCCGCTGCGATGACCTCATGGCTCCAGGCTCCCCCTCAATTGGGAGGATTAGTAGGTGCGCTGACGTCACAATGCTTCCCTCCCGGGAACGTTCCACGGCCGAATCCTGCAACAATTGGCTACAGTTCAGGGTGATTATTGGAGAAGAGCATGCCAGTAAGACACTACGGCGGCTACTGCCGCGCACGGCGGGGCCTGGTAGGGGGTCTCCTTTCTGACCCCACAATACCACATCAGTAACATAAGAGTCCAGGGGGTCTCCGCTCTGCCCTCACAGCACCATATTCAACAGCATGTTAAAGGGTCAGTGCGTATCCCCTCTGCGCTACATTGGGCTGCAGGAGAATCAGAGCCATAGCACGTTGAAAGCGGGGGTCACCCTCTCTTCCCTAACCTGGGTTCCAGGAGGATGAATACTCCATATGCAATAATATGTTAATAGCCTAGATTAAGGATGTTCCACGTCTGCTCCAACCTTTCCTGTAGGGCATAATTATATCATCCTCACTAGGCTATTTAGACATGTTAAAGAATTTTCCTGGGCCAAATGGTTCCTTGGGAAGATAATTTACACCATCATTTACTCCTAATCCATACGTGTTGACTGTCCCTATGTAAATGTGGGAGGGAAAGAAGCAGTCTTTGTTTTTTTAAAGCTCAATAAGATGTCCCATACAGCTGCTCTAAAAAAGATATCCTAGCTCAAATGTATTACAATGGTGTTTAAAGGCTGTCTGAATGCCATTCAAATGCTGACAAGTATGCAAATATAGCAAGTCACTTTTATCCATTTAAAGAGTTAACTGCAACCTTAAATTTGCTTTCCTAGGACACTGAGAACAGCTCACTTTTCTCAGCACCTGTCAATCAGTACATTTTTATAACTCAAAAGCTTGCTCCTACAGAGTTGCAGCCTGCAGGAGTGTCAAATTGTAAGTGAATGAGTGAAATTTCAACAAATTATGTGTGAGATTTCAAATGCCTCACCGATACACAATGCAAAATGCTTCATCATGCGTAAAAGATATAGTAAAAACTGCTTTACAATTAATCCCAAATGAGGTGTCTGATTCCAAATGAGCAAAACTGCCTTTAGAAACCTGGATTTATTACTTTAGTTTAATTTCAAGTGATATAAATTCCATTTTCCAGAATGCCTTTTTCTAAATGATATATTGTGGTACTGGAAAAACTAAATCAGTTCTTATTCATTTAAATAAGAAAGAGGTACCTAGGGTACATTTAGAAAAGGGGAATTTTTAGCAGACAGTAGAGCAAAAATCTGTTGCATTAGAAGGTGGCTACTATAAATCATGTGAAAAAAACTCTTCTATATATAGCACTGAATTTGCAAGAAAATATATTTTCTTTCCTGGGGGAGTCCTCAAATCAACACTGAACAGGCTCCTTTAAAATATGTTTAAAGAGAAATATATTTCATTATTGTTTCAAGTAGCAATTCAATAATGTTATTTTCAATAATCAAACAAAAGCTCAATGGGCAAGTGTTCAGGTTCCTTTTTAGGCCTGTCAAGGCAAAGCAACAAGGAAGTAAAAAACAGTTTCATCTGGAAGCACATTAGATTAAAAGTAAGAAGGTTAAAGCTACTTTTCCCCCCTTCATATTCAGTCAAAGGCTACCAGTTGTGGGTGCTGAGTGAATCTCATAGGTTGTAAATCTTACTCCAGACTTAAAATATACCAAACTGTTCCAGAAGTGTTACTCTAGTGGGCCTATACACCGTGTAACTATGAAAAGACAACTACTAACTGCTTCTTACTGAGCAATGCTGCATTCAGAAAGGGTCCAAGGTCAATCAGCCCTTCCTGTCCATCCGAGATCCCACCATCACATTACTTCTTCAAATATATGCCTACAACAAGGCTGTCAGAAATCTCTTTTCTTCAATATTCAATAATCATTATGGGTTATATAAAATTCAACAGTACAAGAAACAGTTCAGTTAAATGAAGCTGTGAAATAGAAACCAGACTTTTACTCACATTCACAGGAAAGAATTTGTGATTACATATATATTCCAAGAGACCATTGAAGGCCACGATTATTACCAATTACATCTTCATATTTTAAAAAAAAAAAGTTGCACTTCCTGTTTGCAAAGTAAACAATAGCTTTTCTTTTTAATGAGAAACTACAGGATGGATAGCACCATGGTAGTGAAGATAATTAAAGTAATAAATGAGACACATTCTACAATATATTAGGTCAAAGAAAAAATGACAAGGTGTAGGCTCTTTTTATTTGGACCCATCTATTCATTGCTGATATTTTAAAATCTGTGTTTTACTGATCAGTTTGACTAAAATATTATAAAATCTGATAGAAAAATATATTTTCCTACTATATTTAGTTTAACAGCTTAAAACAAGTTATTTTAAAACTCATTGAAAAATGTTATTGAAAAATAGTTTCCTCTCAAATTGTCTTTTTTATAGTAACAAAGGTAATTAAAAAAAACAACACTCCAGTTCAATCAAAACTAATTCTAAACCAGAATAACTGGATTATCTGCGGGATTCAAAAGGAACAGCTTCAGCACACCTCAGCTAAATACTGCAGTTCTTTAATACCTTTAAAACCATTTTTGGTGTGAACCACAAATGCATAGAACACATTAATAAAACTGTATTGTGGGCTCACTGAACTTACAGTGTTGTTGCTGTTGTTTACTCGATTACTTCAATCTCGATTAAGTTTGTTTGGTCAATGTTGGACCATGAGAAACAGGAGAGGGTTGCTTTGCTTATTCGTTTGAAGTTAGTCGCACTGGAGTCGCCTGTAATAAGGATCTAAACGGAAAGGAGCAGCCAAAAGCTATGGGGGTGGGGGAAGAACAAACACACACCAAAACCCAAAGCAAAACAAAAATCCAAAACAGTATTAAAACTTAACAAATGACAATCGTTGCAAAGGCACTGAAAATAAGAGAAAAGTCCAGGGCTCACGTTACCTGGGCGATCAGTCTCCAGCCCTTTAACAATTACAGTGTTTGACAATTTAGAGAGGTTACTATGTGGCATTTACTTTCCAACACGCACCCTCTAGCGGCCAAATGCTGCATTCGCTCCCCAGGACTGACCTCTCCGGCCGCTCCGGGCGGGGAAGCGCCTCCCCTGCTTTAGAGACGGTGACTGCTGAGTCTGACAAGCTTTAGTGGCGTGTCAGGATTGGCGGGGCAGCAAGCGCCGCTGCAGCAGCCACCTTGACTAAACCACATTCCTCCGTTCTGGCTCCTCTTGAGCGCACGCCTAAAAGATGGCAGGCAGCCCCACTGGTCACAGCAAAGCAACAGCCATCTCCCTGCGGAGGAGAAGGCTTGGCAGCTACATTCTGCTGAAACAGAGGGGGAGATATTAGAAGTAGTCTAGGGAATTAGACTGTGGTTCGCTTTTGGCAGGCATCCTCCCAATGAAAAGCATTAAACTGCTGGTCTTGGAAGCATTTGAAACGATTTGGAAGTTGGTGGTGGTGGGAGGGAGTGCTTAACCCGTGCTAGAAAACTATCAAAACACGTTTTGAGCGGGGAGGTTACAGCTTTCCCACAGGTTAAAAATAAGGCTCCAATTTTCATATTATATTTCTGCCACAAGCAGGTACTGAAGATTTTTTTTAAATTCTATTTATTGCAGTCCTCAGATCTGCACAGAAGTAAGAGTGAAACAGTAGGCAAATGGATACAAAGAATATAAAACTATACAGTTTACTTGCTAGGTTAAAAATGGACCATAATAGCTGTTCAATAAATACATACTGCTTCATCAGATTTAGCCCCCAGTTTATGCATTGTAAAACTAAAACTTGTAGAAACGTTTCTATGATTTTTCTTTAAATTCCAATCTGAGCTGCTTTTTTAAACAAACGATTCTCCTGCACTGCAGCATTGTTCTACTGCAAGAAAATCAGAAAGTGAAACTAATACTTTATTTTCATTGCCCGAGCTGAGAAATGAAAAAATAGAGAGCAAAAATAGTGAAACAAATTAGACTTTTAAATGCTACCAGTTTAATAGTCCAAGATGTTATTAGTAACATACAGCATGCACAGGTTATTTATTTAAATATTACTTTTAACATTATAGTTTTCTTTTAACCAAAGAATTCTTCAGTTAGTCTGGCAAGAAGTTGATTAGACATGTAAACTCCTCTAGTATTGTTCCTTTTTTTTTCAGTGTAGTTGATAAAAAGGTAACCAGAGTCTTGTTAAAAGCGTTGCCATTCGATACAGAAATAAAGAAGTTTAGGCTCCATTCCTATGCAAATCCTTATGCACATGCTTAAATGTACACGTAGGAAGAGTCCCTTGGGCTGAGTCATCTGGGTTATTTAGAGGTTTTTTTACTGTCACTTTTGTTTTCTACACAATAATTTCTCATTTGCATACATCTGATTTACATGCTTGTGTTTCACAGTAAATAGTATGAATGAGAAAGATGGCTTTGTGGTTAGGGCACAGGAGTGGGAGTCAGCAGACGTGGGTTCTTTAGCTCTGCCAGAGGCCTCCTCTATGACCTTGGTTAAAGCACTTTACATCTCAGTGTTTCAGCTTCCTCATCTGTAAAATGGGGAGAATACTTATCTATCTCATCTAATTTATTAACATTTGTAAAGTGCTCTGAGATCTTTGTATAGTCAGTGCCATAGGAATGAAAATTATTATTGTTCCTATTTAATCATTCTGTTTTTATAATACACACAAAAAAGTCACTTTCCTGGAGCGGAGCGGGGCCAGGGGCCAGGGCAGGCAGGCAGGGAGCCTGCCCTGGCCACAGTGCGCGGTGCTGCCACCCCGGAGCCGCTCTAGGTAAGCAGCTCCGGGCCAGAGCCCGCACCCCACACCCCAACCCCCTGTCCAGAGCCCCCTGCCACATCCCACACCCTCCCGCACCCCATCTCCCTGCCCTGAGCCCCCTGCCACGCCCTGCACCCCAACCCCCTCCTGCACCTCACCCCTCCTGCACCCCAACTCCCTGCCCTGACCCCCTGCCGCACCCCTCACCCCTCCTGCACCCCACACCCCAATTCCCTGTCCTGAGCCCCCTGCCATACCCTGCACACCTCCTGCACCTCAACTCCCTGCCCTGAGCTCCCATCACACCTCGCACCCCTCCTGCTCCCCCTGGGGGCAGGGAGGGGGCAGAGTTGGGGTGAGGACTTCGGGGAAGGGGTTGGAATGGGGGCAGGGAAGGGGCGGGAAGAGGCGGGGTAGGGGCGGGGCCTCATGGAAGGGGTGGAGTGGGGGCGGGGCTGGGGGCAGCAAGGGGTGAGTGTCAGTGATGCGGCCCTCAGGCCAATGCACTAGTCCTCATGCGGCCCTCGTGGTCATTTGAGTTTGAGACCCCTGGTCTATGATATCAACTGCCCCTGCTTGAGTCTGTCAACCTGGCCTCTGAGCCTCGCTGCCATAGGTTGTGTGCAGACGTACCCGCAGAGTCTGAGTTTAAGCTGTTAAGAAGTACTTCACTGCAGTACTTTGCACTGATCGACAGGAGGCACAGTATGATCACTTGAATTGCTTCAGCAATGTTACATCTCAGTGGGGTAAGAGATATCCAGACGGTATTTCAGTGAGGGCAAGTAAGAAGGTAGCCCTCAAGTCTGTGTCAACTAATGGAAAGTAGGGGAATTTGGCCCTAAGACAAAGCCCAAAATGCATTGGAAACACTACATATCAAAGTATGTGTGGGAGGAGAGGGCCAGATATATGCAGCCTGCAAAGGGTAGTCGGCAACTTCCTGTGTGATGTAGAGCACTGCTCTGAAATGGCTCCCAATATAGGAATGCAGAGAAGGGCACTATGGGCAGACTGGGAAGTGGCAGGGTTATGGCTAATAAGTCTATGCTCAGTATGGATTCCAAAACCCCACAATGACAGGAGGAGAGAGGCAGTGGGCCACTTCTTTCAACCTTCTGTAGGCACTTCAGAATAAAGAATCTCGTTGGCAACAACGTCTGGAGAAAAATTTACTGATAAAGAACCTGGGTTCTATTCCCAGGTTTGCTACTAGCCCGCTAGGTGCTTGGATAAATCATCTCCCCTGTCTGTGCCACAGTTCCCCCTCTGTAAAATGTGGATAATGATACTGAGCTACCACGTAAAGTGCTGTGAAAAGCACTATATAAGAGTTGGGTAGCATTGTTATTATTTCTAAGAGGAAAGATGGTGAAGTTTGGTCTGAGGGTATGTCTACATTGCAATTAGACACCCATGGCTAACCTGTGCCAGGTGATTTGGGCTTGTGGAGCTCGAGCTAAGGGGTTGTTTAACTGTGGGGTAGATGTTCCGGCTTGGGGTGCAGGCTCTGGGACCCTCCCACTGTGCAGGGTCCTAGAGCCCCAGGCTCCAGCCTGAACCCAAATGGCTACACCGCAGTTAAACAGCCCCTTAAGCCCAACCCCTGTGAGCCTGAGTCAGTTGGCATGGAGCAGCTGCCGGTGTCTAATGGCAGTGCAGACATACCCTTAGAGTCATTTCTTCCTTTGCACTTTGACTGGACAAACACCACAGAACAAATAAGACTGGCAACATTATTGGCAAAAACTTATGACTTTAAAAGATATCAGTGTCCTCTAGGTGCACAGATGCACATAACAGCAAATTACAGCATATTGGTATTATTGCAGTGTCTATATCTACATGGTCCCTAGCATTTGGCACTATAAAAGCACCTTAGCACATGCGTTTCATCTCTAGCTAATCCACTCCTGGATTTGCTTTTCTCCAGACTGCAGCTTCTTGAGAGAAATACATAATGTACACTGATAATTCATCATCAGAACAAGCTGTCACTTTAATGATGTATTCATGTGATATATCATCATATATAGTGAAGCATACTGATGTAATCCAAAGCCAATGCTGTCCAGGGAAGGAAAAATGGTGGAGCAGATTTAATAACCTGACCTAAATAGGAGTCAGTTATATTCAGCATCTGGAAAGTTACCTTTGCAGCATACAACACTGTAGAAATGTTGGCACATAATGAGAGTAGCTTCTTGTAATATTTCTAGCATTTCATCACCAAATATTCAAACCAGTGCAGATTAATTCTACGGTCCAAAGCAGAAGCAAACAGTTAACTGGACAATAGACTTGAGAATTAGAGGAATAAGTTTTATGTCCAAGTTCATCTTTAGCAGTGTTCCAACTTTAAGCTGCTTAAAATGGACAAACCTAGAAAAATGTTTGTCACGTTGGACATTAAAATGATTATAAAGTTATATATTAAAATTATTAGACAGATTATTATTATTAATAATACTTAAGAAAGTATCTTCAAAGTATTCAGCATAAACTTATTCAACTGACCTAAAAAAGGTACTTTGCCAAATATAAGAAAAAGTAGATGGGGCAAGTACATAGGCTCCTCGATTGATAGATGTCTAAATAAATGTGGCCTGATGGGAGCTGCAGGTGTCCAGCATCCCTTAAAAATCAGGCTTTTTATTTAGATGCCTAAATATGGATTTTAGAAGCCTAACTTTAGGCACCCAAGTTGAAAATTTCTGGAATTGACTATGTTTACAAATCTATGTCAGGGAATTCTTGCTGTTGAGGTCTGATCCTGGGAGTTAGGCCACCAGGATTCAAAATGTTGGTCTATGAGTGATATTGAGTATATTTTATTTACTTGACTTTCACATACACCACTGTGCTGTATGTACATTTGGTTTGTGTATTTCAGTCTGCAGTTGCACAGATACACAGGAAAAGACTGCTGGGACCTTCTCCCAACCAGCTATTGAGATCCTAGAGACATTCAAAGGAAAGGTGGTTTATGTGATAATGAAATGGATTAAGCATCATACTAATCACATTTGTGATCCAAAAAAGACAATCAGAAGACAGCTATGAAAATATGCTTATTGTTTATGAGGACATTTCTCTTTCATAAAGTGAGCTGTTAAATTAAATATGGACATGAATCACTCCATGTTGTTTCCAGTTCTGGAATCCTGTAGAGATAATTATCACCAAAGTAGTGTATGGCAGTTTAATCCTTGGC